GAGACTCGTTCGTGATGAAGATGAAGATGATTAATTAATCAATTGATTATAAAAAATTAAATTTTTTTGAGCATTTAAAAAAAAGTTTTCTTATAAATACAAGTATTCTATTTAAAAAACATACACTTATTTGCATGCTATTTCCTGAGCTTCTCAATTAATTAAGTTCAATGAATAAAAAAAAATAAAAAAAATATTGTTTTTGTTAGATTGAGCGAATCCTTCTAGATTATGAGACAGCACGTCTAAAACATAAAGATGAACCATATATATCTCAATCTGATGCGCTTGAGTATTTCAAAATGGCGAATTTTTTTGCACATTATAATAATGGCCGCGAGTTTGCGTCAGATCGAAATCGTCAGATTATTGAATGAGAGCTTTTTTTGTTGCACTTAACACCCCCTTAGAAAATCTGACGCGCTCGATTGAATTTTTTTTCTTTTCACTTTTAACCCTTACAACCACCCACATCATGCAAATGATCAGATTAACATACCAACATTATTAAAAATACATAGGACATTGATGCTATCATTATCTGACGCGCTCGAGTATGTTCATGCAACAGTATTTTTTATAAAAATCTATAGCCGCTTCCATAACATTTTTTCCTTCTTATCATCTAAGCTTTGCAACCTAATATGTCTCAATGACGCTCGAGTAAATCCCCATTTTGCATCGTGGGCTCCCCTGCTATTTCGCTTAGCCGCCAGCGCTCCCTTGTCGCCGAGTCGACTGATGTGACATCAAGCTTGACCACGCCCCGTTTAGGTGAACGCCACATTCAACAATTAATTTGAGGGGGAAGATAAAGAGCGAAAATCCAGATTTTTTGCAGATGTACTATTTGAAACATAAACTTTTAAATTATGAAATAAAAAAAATTTGTTAAGTGAGCCCATTCTTGGCAATGGCTTCAAAATCAAAGCCGGTACGTCGAACAACTAAAAACTTTAAACACATTTGTGTCAACAATGGTTTCGATTGTCAGTACTTTCTTCAACTTCCTGGAGTAATGTCGGACATACAGTAAATCAGTTATTTCGTCTAACTTGCCACTTGTACACCCAAGATTATATCTTTGTGATTTACTGAACCAAACTATTTTTGAAAATCAAGGAGGAAATCTTTGATTCACACTAATTCTGATTAGGAAATAATACAATTTTACTACATTTGGTAAATAATCAATTGATTCAGCTCTCACTGGGAATATTTTTTTGAACTTTGGTAACATGTCTCATATTTCATTACTCATATGAAGATTATCAAATTGTATTGCTTTTTAGGGATTGCTATGCTATTTTCTGCCGGAACATTCCTTTACGTAGCGACTGTTCACGTTTTGGCTGATATAACCCAAGCTCAATCATCCTACGACAAGCTTCCTCTGACAGAGTCAACAAAGCAGAGTGCCTCAAGTTCTAGGCTGAAAACTATAGAACTGGTTTTTCTCATTATGGGCTGTCTGTTTCCTCTGTTTTTGTCTCTTGGTCATCATCATTAAATCTCATTTATGTAAATATACATTTATTTATTACCTTTGGAATATTAGTCGGCAATAAAACCTCTTATGTATGTAGATTTTTAATTATATATCAAAAAATTGAATGAAGTAGAACAAAATATTTTTTTTTATTTTTGGAAAAGAAGTACAGATACACAAATATTCTTTCACGGACAATTTCACGCAAATTTCAAAACCTCCGAAATGATTCACAAATTCATTTCACTAAATTTCAGTATTTTTTTCAAGTTACATGTTCCTCCAAGTCTGCATGAGAATTCCATTGAATAGACGTTATGTATGATGACCATCATCTAATATCCAGATAATTATGACAGCATTCAAGAATTTTGTTTGTTTTTTCGTACTTCGTTTCCACACCAGAACAAACATAACAAATATTGTCTCTTGACGTGCATTTTGCTAACCAGGCAGCATCACCAGGAGATAATACTAATCTTAGTTATGTAAGAGTTTTTTTAAATTCATCTGCACAAACTCTATAATGACAGAATGAACACGCCTAAGGAAGCTGTTGTATAGCGAAACAAGTGTTGCTGTATTAGAAACTGTTCAGTGAAAATGTCACAAAAATGTTTTACTGGGAAACGTAACTCATGTGAGGAGTTTTTTTATTCATATGGACAAAGAATCTACATAACTATAAGATTAGTTTTAGTCACCTACTGATGATGCTCACTTGGTTAGTGAAATGTACGTCGAGAGACAGTTTTTTTGTTCTGGTGAAGGGGAAAATATTTTCAATAGAATAATTCAACGTCAGAGGTTCCAATTCTACCTATCAACTTTGATTGAAATTTTCATTTGGCACTGAGATTTATAAAGCTTTATGAAGTTTTCTCTTTTTCAACATTTTTTACTTTCTAGACTCATTGAAAAAAGGTGTTGACAATAAATTTGTCATGAAAGACAGAACAACCTCTGGCGACATATTCATAAAACTTTAATGAACTTGCTGTGGTTTTTATCAAAAAGTTTCAAAAGAAATTCAGTATGCAGAAAAGGTGGGTTCTTTCCTGGATTTTCAGAAACTTGTGAAATTCGTCGAATTCTAATTTTCGATTCAATTATCTCTAGTCTTTTAAATTCAGAATTTGGCGTTGGAAATAGGTTATAGTGAGATATCCTCAAAAACAAGAAACGGCGATAAATTATGAAGTTAATAATTTTCTACCAAACTATCTGAATTTGTTAGTGCAATAGAAAATGTTAATATTATCTTCCTTGGAAACAGTATTACGTTACATCTTTTTCAATGTAGCATGTAACTATTTAACAAAGAATTGAATTTCGTCAAAACTTTGATTGTATCAAAAGTCAAGGAGACGGTTTTAAATTTTTCTGGCAGATTTGTTTGCAGACAGTGTAATAGTCAATCAATATTTCAATTAGTATATATTCATACTATTAACAAGAAAATGACATCCAGTTAGAACTCAGCAATCTGCTCAGGTAAGATTCTTTTAATTGAGTGAATCAGTGGCCAGAATTATGAAAACAAATGATTTTAATGACTCGAACAATCGGATAAGTATTTTTCATAGTATTTCTGTGTGACACCATTCTGTAATAAATATTTCAAACATAAATCGTTTTATTTATCAGACAACTCTGTGTCAATGTGAGGATAAAATATCTAAGATCATGTGTGTGTCTCACACATGATACAAGTACTTTTCCAATCACCACAAATGCAATACTCTTCTCGACATGCGTTTCACCAACCAATTTGGCGTTTTCAGGAGATGAAGAGTTTTTGCTATCTCCTTACTACGCCAACTTGTTTGGTTAAACGCGCGTCGAGAAGTGTATTGCAATCCTGGTGATAGGAAAAAGTTTTTATTTTGGATTATTTCTATACCAGAGGTTCCAATTTCACCTTTTATGCTACACTAGCGCTTATTATTAATTAGGTATATTTTTTGCGGCTTAACTTTTGTTTAGCTTGTGTGAAAAATTAGGGCCTACCTAACTTCTATGTACACAATATTCTTAACTAATCTGTCATTAGGCGCTAAAACTATCAAGCTATTGGGTGAACTTACTCGTGAGCAAGCATAAAACATGAAACTGTTCATGAGAGAAGCAATGTTCTCTCTAGTCAATACCCGCAAATTTGAGAGTTTGCCCCCGTAACTTGTTTATTGTCATGGCAAAGCATTAGGTATAATGGTATAAATACAAATTCCCCTATCGCACACCCAGTTAATATAGTGGCTTCCACTATATTGCGATGTAACGCTTTCACTTGCAGTCTCGTACAGTTACAAAGTTTTTGTGGTTTTAAATTTCGCAACAACATAATTGGAGTGCACACACGCAGAATAAGCTTATGACAAAGCAAACCTGGCGGTTTCAATGAATTTAAAAATTCTACAGGGTAAATAGTTAAATAGTAGCGTTATCTGTATTTACCACATCAATCGAAGTATAGACCTTTTCTTCGCCCTCAAACGAGTTGATAGCTGCTGCTTGATCGTTCTTTGGAGTAAGTATGGCACGCTCACATAACCATTCAATAGGCTTGTCATGTATATGAATAATGTCTGGATAAACTTTAGACAGCAATTCTTGAACCGTAGTAACAACTGTGCACAATTCTTCCAGGATGGTTATCATTCCATCAAACGATGGAAACTCACCATTACCGATTTTACGAAGGAGATCTGAAAATCTACCAGCAGACTCATCCCCGCCCAAATGTGCTCTCATATTTTTAGAGAGCTTAAGAATATTAACCTGGGGCAACAAATTAGATTTCTTAATGCACGACTTTACTTCGTCAGCTCTGGTTCCTTTTGGCACCACTGGTAGAGTCTACCGAAAGTCTCCGGTCAGCATAACTGTCACGTCACCCATTAATTTTGTATTACCCCTTATATTCCTCAGTGATCTGTTTAAGGCTTCAATACCACCTTTATGAGTCATCGTTATTTCGTCCCACACGATTATTTTTGTACTCTTTAAAACTTCAGCAAAATTACTTTGTTTGGAGATGTTGCAAATGGGAGTCTCGACAGTGATTAAATTGAGTGGTAACTTGAAAGTAGCATGAGCAGTTCGACCACCTTCGAGTAATGTAGCAGCTATACCGGACGACGCCACAGCAAGGGCAATGCCGTGAGTACTTCTTACTTCCGCCAAAAGTAAATTAATAAGGAAGGTTTTACCAGTTCCACCTGGAGCGTCTAAAAAGAATATTCGACCGTCATTTGTGATAATTTTATTGTAAACTTCCTGTTGCTCGTCATTCAAGGATGCTTCATTTTTTCTTACTGTGTCTTCTAAGGTCACTGTATCGTAACTGGTCTCCTTCACGTACTCTCTATTTTCAAAATGTATTGATGTTATTGGCTGAGTTAATCCATACTCTTCAAGAGGACGGCCGCCTAATGATAATACGGCATCATCTTTGTTTGAAGGTGATTGACAATGTTTCGTGATGAATTTCACTAGTTCGGACTTCCATTAATAGTGCCTGATCGACTTTATAATAGCATATTTCAATTAAAAAATGTTTAAGACATTTTTTAAAGACTCTCTCTTACATACCTACTCTGGTAATTTATTAAATAATAAAGGACCTAGTGGTTTGGAGAATTTGTAGAAAATTGAACCCTTGATAAGGGTATATTCAGCTGAGTTTTTATTCTTGTGTCATGTTTGTGAATGGTAGATCTGGTTGAAAAACTGTTATAGTTACCTACTAAATATATACACACAATCTTCAAAGATAAAGAGTGATGGTAGCGTCATGATTTTACATGTTTTGAATACATTAACACAGCTTTGTCGAGGGGATAGACTAAACATTACTCGGAGTATTCTCTTTTGTGCAACAAATACATCATTAGCGCTAGAAGACCTTCCTCAGAGGGAGGAGGAATATCTAAGTATGGAGTCTACTTGGGCATAGTAGAGCATCAGCAACTGATCATTAGGCAGAACTGATCTCAAATTACGTAATTGATAGAGGAAACAGAATTCAATTTATTGATTAAGATTTTAGAGTGTTCTCCCCAGGAAATATGTTCGTCTATATATAATCCAAGAAATCAGATGGTCTTATCAACTAACTGTAATTCTTCGAAATCAACTACACTAGCTTCTTTTTGTCTATTGTGAAAGCGTATACATTTTGTTATGTATTGGAAATTCAAGGATTCGCCAAATTGCTTCAGCTGAACTTATATAGCGACCACTTGCGTAGGTTGTAACTTCATCCTTCCCGTTCTCTAAAGTAAACGTAGCTTGATCTGACCCTTTATTAACATATTTGCAAACGTATTTGATTGACTTCACTGAATGGCAATACTCTACGTTCACGTGAGCGTTACATATTCTTAATAGCACTGGATTATAACAAACCACCCAACGATTATCTATTGTAACACCCTTGATATTGACAGAGAATCCACCGTCATCCAGAGAACGTCTCCTGTACTGCGGATAACCATCATCACCGGTTTGAGTTTCCTTAATAAGAGCCTTAGGATAACGTTTGCTGTACGAATTATCTTTCATGCATGGAGAGTTTCGCTTAAAACTTCCACAGGTAATATATCATAGGTATTTCAGCACAAATAATATTGTCAATTTGATCCGAAGTTATGCGATGTTGAAGCCATAAAAGTATATGAATATTCGGAAGACCTCGCTTTTGCCATTTCATCTAATACATATAGCATCTCACTTCATCGAATATTTTCCCTTTTATCAACAAATCCATCACCTTTCATACCTTTACTCGAAAGACACGCAAAATAATATTGTATCGATCATGAGATTTTTGTCCTGAAAGTAAGTGCTCATTTATGTCACTCCAGCGTGGGTTACATGTAAAAGTAATAAAAAGGTCGGAACGACCGTAATGTCTGACATAGGTCATGGCGTCTTGCGTTTTTTCGTGCATGTATCTTGATCCGCCAGTAAAAGATGATGGAAGTAGTACCATTTGTACCAGCTGATTTGCTTCAGTATTTTGCCGTCCAATTGCATCTTTCAAATGAATATAATTATCTGCGCGCAATTTGGCTTGATTGTTTTTTAT